CTTCCTCCCACACAGTCCAAAAACACGTTGAGGTTAATTGGTGATTCTAAATTGTCCGTAGGTGTGAATGTGAGTGTGCTTGTTTGTCTGTCTCTAAGTGTAGCCCTGTGATAGACTGGTTACCTGTCCAGGTGAACCGCCTTCACCCTGAGTCAGCTGGGACAGACTCCAGCCCCCCACGACCTTAGTGAGGATTAAGCGATGTATAGAAAATGGATGGATGGATGTATAGATAATGGATGGATGGGTAATTTAGTGAAATAAGACTTTGCTTTTGAATTGTGGTTGAAAAGAATAGTTAAAAACAAACAAACACTTGATTGCAGTGATTGACTCAAAGGATTGTTCAGCAAAATATTAGTTTATGGGTCCCATCATGCTTGTTTTGTTTTTTTTTCTTGTCAAAAAAAAAGTTCTGCTGAACCACAATTCAAAAGCAATGACATGATTTCATAAAATTTTTATTTATGATTACTTTTGCTGTTTTTTTTAAAAGATGATTTTTTCTGGTCTTTTTTGCCTTTATTTGTTAGGACAGTGAGAGAGTAAGGGGGGAGGACCTTCCGCAAACTCACAACCGCTGCGTCAGGGAATCACAGCCCCTGTTCATGGGTCGCCCGCTCAACCAGGTGAGTTACACTGACGCAAATGTGTTCTGGTCGGGAATCTGATTCGGACTGTCGAGTTTGAGGCAGATCGGAGCACGTGCGGGCTCGTTACGAGCCACTTCCTGTTTGGTGGTGAGGTGCGGCGGCGTGCATGTTGGCTGTGGTGGAAACGCACTCTGGCTGAGAGTCGGAGCGTGTGTGTAAAGATTTAGGCTGATCGGAGCACATACAGGGCAGTTATTTATCATGGCTTGTATTATGGTGTTTTATAGTGTTTTGACCAATTTCAAGGGATAGCATTTCCATGTTGTCAGACTTTTGCACAGTATTGTGTAATGGGGATGGATGCGAATTAGAATGTGATTGGAGGATAATTTCTGAAAGGTTTGACTGCAGGGTGATGATGTTTAAGTGGGGCATTTGGATGTAAATGGCATGTGGCCATGTGACTGTCAAGCATACATAACTGAACATCAAAATCAGCATGCAAGTAATGAATGAATGAAAGTAAGATTTTTTGTGTTGTAAAATTAAAGTAGAGATCTCTGTGTTATCAAGTACAGCGTGTATGTATACATGTTTGAATCAATAGTGATGATCATTTGCAATAAGAGCTGCAGCACACAGCTCTACATGCAGCAATGTTAATACAGAAATGGTGAAGCTGTGTGGTTTAAGCCATTATTTTGTCACAATGTATTACGACAATAAGTGTAGATTTCATTGAAATAAATGTGGTGTAAAGATGACATGGAGCTATAAGTGTTGCTAGGAACACACATATATTGTAGTTTGTGTGGGCAACTTTTACAAAGTGAAGTTGTTAATGTGAAATGTGTGGATAGCTGAACAGGTTGGAGAGGTGACCTATGTACAGAGGCTATAGTCCTGATGCAGCAGCCATGGTATGAATGTGGCCAGCGGCTCATTTGCTGCATGTTGTTCTTGTAGATTAATTGTAGCAACTGAGCTTGCTTCAGTTCCTTCAAGATATTTCACCTCTCAGCCAAGAAGCTTCATCTTTTCTGACTGAGTAGTTGGGAGTGCCAGATCCTGATATTGTTAAGGAGCCAATAACACCTGAGCTTCGGTTTCAATTGGGGGTTTGTTGCCCTTCCCACTCATTATGCGAGTCGTTAGTGCTCCCTCTGTGTGAATGTGGTTTCATCTTGTTGGGGAGAGATATTGTTGCATGTTGTTCTTTTACCTTTTCCCCATGTTTGTCTGTGTATTTTCACTGTCAACTGTCATTAAAGGCGGAAAAAGGCCAAAAAATATATCTTTAAAAAAATGAAGGACAAAATGAATGTTAACAGGATATGTGGTTTGCTGTTTTATGGACTCTTGTATTCTCGCTAGACACAAGGTGAGTTGTAAGGAGTAATGTAATCTGACATTAGTTTGGGTCAGAGTTTTGCACATCTTGGTTTAAAGTTAGTATGCAAGGAATAAATGAATGAAATTAAAATGTTTTATGTTGTAAAATTAAAGTACAGATCTCTGTGTTATCAAGTACAGTGTATGTGTATACATGTCTGAATCCATAGTGATGATATTTTGCAAACAGAGCAGCAGCACACAGCTTTACATGCAGCAATGTTAATACAGAAATGGTGAAGCTGTGTGAGTTTAAGGCATTTTTGGTCACGATGTGTTATGACAATAAATGTAGGTTCATTTCAATCAAAGTGGTGTAAACATGACATTGACATGAAAAGTTTTGTGTGGAACGTACATATATTGGATTTCTGTGTGGGGAAATTTTAGAAAGTGAAGCTGTTTACGTGAAACATAGCTAGAATGGCAAGCTAGTGTTTTAGTTTTACCAGGTAACAAAAGTGTTGTTTTTCCAAGGAGGGGGATGGGGGATGGGGATGGATGCTAATTGATGATTGATTGATTGAAGTGATTGCAGGACAGCGTCTGAAAGGCTTGGATGCTGAGCAGTGAATATTGAGTTGTTTTATTTTCGATATAAATGAAGTGTGTTATGGTTGGTAAACAGTTGTACATGTATCACATGAAAAAAGTAAATACCAATGAAATCAGAAGTTAAGTGATTGAAAACTTACTGAGTAAAGTTATGTGTCCATGCAGACTTTTGTTTCTGGTCATTTTTCTTTGAATCAAGTGTAGCTCCGCCCACATTCCGTTACGATGATTCTGATTGGTGGACCTGTTTGAACAGCCCTGATAACTACCCAGGTGAGGCACAGGGGCCTCTTCTTTTGGTAAATTCTCCAAGAGGCTCCACACAATCATCACACACCTGAGACTTTTATAGTTTCCTACTTGTGAGGATTTGAGTGTTTAGTGGATCTAAGGATGCCTGTTGTCCTTTTTTTCTGCTATTTTTCTGTTTGCACCAGTTTTATTTGATTCCAGGTGAGTTATTCATTTAGCAGTATTTGTGTAGTGATGAAAATGATGATGTGTTTTTAGGAGTAGAGTGGATGAAGTAATGACCTTTTTGTTTAGTGATAGTAGAACTGAATTTGTATGTGTGAAATGGTAAAAGTGTGTTGTCATGTAATGATTAAGATGTTGTGTTTATGATTTTATAGATGCCTCGTGGCAAGTCCTATCGCCGTTCGCAGGCTGTCAAGAGGAGGCTGGAGACGCAACGTACTCTGAACGTTGAACCCCAGCAGCTTGCCATTGTCAGTCATGCATGTAAGTAGCCTGATTGTAAATTAATTGTATTTTACATTTGTAAGGGTTGTATTCTTATGCTCTGTAGCTATCATATGATTTACATGCATCTATCTGCGCATAAATTAACATAATTGAATTTGTGAAAAAAAAAAGGATGTTCAATGTTTTGTTGTTTTGTGTTTGTCTGATAGGCAGAGGTACTGGTTACCGACATGCTGTGCGCAGATAGCCAACTTCACTCGTGACTGGACGAAGCCACAAGTTGGTCATTCCAGTAGAGGCGCCTAACAAGAAGGTATTATACTTGTAGAGCAGTTGCACATAATAGCAAAATGCTAGTATTATGATTTGCTTTCTAACAAATGTTGTCTTTACAGTTGGTTCTTCTAGTTGGTGCATCCCATCTGCGAAGCATTGCTGATGGGATTGTGGCGATGCCAGAGGGAGAGCTGTCCTTTGGTGTCATGTCCACGCCGGGGGCCGCTGCTGCTGACCTGCGGGCAGAGTTCCTGAGTGCCGTGCTACCAAGGAAGCCAGACGCTGTCCTTCTGCAGGCCCCCAGCAACAACCTGACTTCCAGCAGCACCATCCAGGAGGCGGGCGCAGATTTCAGCAAGCTTCTTGCTAGTGTCTGCAGTCAGCATACCAATGTAAGCATAGTTGAAAATGTTGTGGTTGTGCCTGTGTTTTTGTGATAGCCATTTGTTTGCAAAGTATAATTATTGAGAATAATGTATATGGTTGATGTGGGCAGTTTGAATGATAATGACCAAAAATGGTGTTTTACAGGTGGTTGTGACAGACTTTACTCCGCGTCTGAACATTGACCTGAACTACCAACAACACCTTCGTCAGGAGTACCATCGTGTTGCTGCAAGCATGGGTATGTACAATAGTGGTCGCTAGAGACCTACACATAGCTGTATAGAGAGTTCTGTAATTGTAGCCAAAACATGGAGTAGTAATTCGTATGATGTTTACTTGAGCAAACATACAGTGGAAGATGTACATGTCTGCATTTCATAATGGCTTGTTTGTGCTTTGCAGGTGTGAAGTACTTCTCTGTTGTGGAGTATTTTCCATTGAACAACTTGGAGCTGTGGTGCAGGGATGGTGTAAGTATAACATGATGTTGTATTGTGGCAAATGGGAAATTGTACATTGAAAAGCATACGGCCTGTATAACAATGCCAGGAAAATGAAGTCAATTATATGTCTTGCTGTTATTTCTAGAGGTCCACCTGTCGGACACTGTGGGGATGCCTATCCTGGCACAGTTGCTGTGGATGGCTTCTTGCATGGTAAGCTGTGACTATTGATTAGATTTTTGTAGTGTTTATTTGTTTGTGTGTTTGTATTTTGTCCATGGTCATGCATATGTATGCTGTTTAGACATGCAAAGTACTCCCAAGCTTTTAAGAGTCTTCCCTTAGTTGATCACGGTGTCTAACCTTCTCTCGTGTCTCTTGCCCCTAGTTTCTCTGGAGCCACCAGCGAGCCCCCTGCTCAACCTGTCACAGACCAACCTCCTCAGTCTGTTGGTATTTGTTGGAGAATATTCGATCAGTTAGTTCAATTTCACTTTGATATGGCCAAAAACTAAAGGGTATCAAACTGCAGCAGTCACCACACCTGGGGTACAAATCTGCATCCAAACTCACAGTCAGGGTGACTTTGATTAATGTGAGCACCTCACCTTGGTGCCTCTCATTGTTTGTCTGTTTCCTGTAAATATGTAACTTCTGTTTAACTTGCTTAGAAGTTAGTTGTTGTCTCTTGTTTCCTGTAGCCAACCAAAATGGTTAATCGCTGGTATATGTGCTGCGGACACTCATTTGTTTAGTTATCGTTTTACACTTGCACAAATTTGTTGTTTACTTTTGTTAGACACATGGGTGTTGCTATTGTGTCTTTAAGTTTGGCTAAGGAGGTTTTTTCTTTTTTTTGTTCTTTAGTCTTGGTAAGTTTTCTAACTTTTAGCCCCCGTTTGGTTTTATTTGGTTCTATGATTTAGAAACACCCACTAGTTCTGTTTTCTTTGTAGTGTTCTCACCTTTTCTTTTGTTAATGAAGTCACTAAGCAATAAATTGCTTTACCCGACCAAGATCACCTAGTTTTGTTTCCCATAGCTCACCCCAGACAGCTGGGTTGTAACGCACTATTTGATTTATTACATGCTGCTCTTTCTCAGTATCCCTTGAACTAAATTGAATGGTCACTATTGATTCCTGATGTCTTCCTACGCTGCTCCTCCGACTGGACCATCCAGCTGTGGAGGCAGGACCACTCTACCCCTGTGCTGAAATTCCCATCCATCCAGAGTGAAGTGTACTCTGTCCAGTGGTCCCAAACTGGTCCACAGTGTTGCAGCCACTAACGATCAACAGATAGAGATCTGGGACCAGAATTCCAGCACGAGTCATTTTGACATAGACTGTCTGTCTCATGCTCTTTCTCATTGACTTTCACCTACTTTTATCTGATTTGAAACAATCCTGTGTTCACTAAAAACACAAACCTCTCCTTTCAGCAAGTTCCCAGCCATTGTGCACCAGGTTGCAGCTGAAGCTGACGTCCCTGCTGTTTGCTGCAGGGACACACTGTGTCGTGGTAGGCGATAGTGAAGGACAAGTGACTGTCCACAAGCTTAAGAACCTCAATGTGGGAGAAGGCAACAGGCGACACTACTCTACATGTAGCCCTCTGCAAAACACTTGAAATACAGAACAACCCTATAATTCAAACATTTTTCTGATTTATTATTCATGTAACTTTTGCTGCCTCTTGGCCAGGGCACAAGAGATTTTTAATCTCAATGGGTCTTTCCTGGTTAAATAAAGGTGAAATACATTTTTTTAATGTATTTTTTCTTTGTGCTGAGTATGTTGACAATGCAAACTCTGCAGGAAAGGAAAACAACTAGTAACAAGCAAAAAAGGCAGGTTATGAGTCTGTCATTTAATTTTTAGGTGGTAGATTGAGATGAGAATTGCAAACAAATCACAACAGTGAGCACAGACCAAACATGTCTGATACTGTTTTGTTTTTTAAAAAAAATCTTATTAACATTTTGGCAGTTTACAGCGTAACATAAAACATAAAAATCAACCCCATCAAGTATGCCAGTTATAACCTCCAACCCGTTTCCCACCCACCCCACAGTTGCATAGCTGTACAGAGAAATAAACAAGAATATATGAGAAAAGGGAGAATAAAAATAAAATAAGTAAATAAATACACAGTGTATTACCATTATGGCTTCAATAAAATGAGCAAGAATGACAATGTAACAGGGACAATGCTACGCAGGTGGCCTACCATGTGAGTAGAGTCGAGTACGAAAGTCCTAGTCATTCTGATGTGAAGGGGCAAGGCCCCACCAAATTGGGACTGATGGACCCACGATACGCAGAAATCTTCAGAATACTGGTTAGGTTTCAGTCATCATTGTCTGATATTGTTGACGAGTCAAACTGTCTCTGGGGTTCTTTCTTCAGGTGGACAGCTGGAACGACATAATTCATCTGCATGTTTCAAGTTGGAAATTGTCTGAGATGGAAAAACCATGTGAAACTTAAGATTTGTGACAATTTAAATATGTCAGTGAGTTTGTTCCTGCAGAAATGCCAGTTCAACGTTATTTGAAAGTCACTTTAGGTTTGTTTTACCACCGTTAATGCTGTGAAGTTCATTTAATGTTTGCTAAGAAAATGTTAAAGATCTAAATCTTTTATTCACTGCATCGACTGTAGTTTATCTTTCTTAACAAAACAAGAGATAAACAAATGCAAGCGAATAAAGATAACAAATATTCAAAGCTGATGAGAAATGTCAAAACAAAAGTCAGTCATAACATGTGAACTTAACTGTACCTTTCAAAGATTTTGTGCAGTTTACCTTGATGAAGTGTCTAAAAAGCATCAGTTCAAGTCCAGAGTCACCAAAAGGATGAACCACTTACTAAACTCACGAGACACGAGAAGTCTAATGACTCTATGGAGTATCATTAGCTTCAGCTTAGATCACCAGAGAAATCAGAGCAGAAAGGGAACCTTGCAGGGCAATAAAATCATAAAATCATCTAATCATAAAGACAAATATGAGGGGTTTTTTTGCCTTTGTTTTGGCTTCTTTCACAACACAAGCTTAAAACAATGTAGATGGAAATCTGTACATCTTTCATAGTAAGCACTGATTTGTGCCAAAAATGGTTTATGTATTTCATTTCACATAATTATTTTTGCTATTTTAGAGTCTGAGGGAGGAGCTGTGTCTGCGTATGGCCAAGCTTTCAGTTTGTAGCCTTTAACAGCTCTCAGTCCAACTGTGTGCAGAGCTCAAGAATGCATCAGCTAACACAGTTATTCTGGATGACAGTGCTTTCTTTCTTTCACTGACTGTCTCGGACAAATTGCATCACGCTCCCAAAACCAGCTGGTATGTCTGTCAATGACAAAACTCCTGTTTGTGAAGTTGTGGAGATTTGGCTTCACATTCCTCAGTGTACAGTTTCAAAAAAGGGAATTTAAAATGCCTGAGGGGATAAATAATGTATCTATCGACAGTTTGACATTTTAAGAAGTAAACTAATTCTCTTTCTTGGTGAGAGTTAAATGAGAAGAGTAGTGCTACTTCCATTTCTGTTAGATATGATGGCACATACAGCAGTGTTTAGCTTAGTCTTAGAGAAATCAAGCAGGTTTTCTGTTAAGTGAATGTTACAGCTACAATAGAAAGACGGACTTCCTTTTTGTTAATGTGTATGACTTGTGTCTGCTGACGCGATGAGTTCAGGCACAATGAGTGTTCACCAGTGGGGCAAAGACTCACATGACCCATAGTAAAGTGCATGATGACGCAACAGGCAGAATGTGTTCGCTGTGATCTATGACTCCAAAAGGTCACATATCCTCACAGTGTTGCTGAAGTCAGCTCTGCCGCCTGCTTAATTTAAAACACAGTGAGCAACAGCGAGGATGGGAAGACATGAATCCCATGATGACAGGTCACAGACAGAGCATGTGATTCTGGCTCACATCAACCAGTCAAAAATCAACTGTACACTGAGGAAAAAGATGAGATTTGCTGTTCCGTAAAGCGCCTGGCAGAAAAAACGCTCTCAGATTGCAACATGATGCGTCGCCTTTTACTTCTTCCACTGGTTCGAATGTTGGAACAGGGGCGCTCAGAGGATGTGAGGATGGCTGTGTGTTATGTGGTCTGGGTTTACATCCCTTTTTGTATCCAGTTGTTTTTGTTTTACTTTCAAGCACAGCAGGAAGTGAACCTGGATTTGAAAGTGACATATGATGGTGCTTCATGAAGGCTGTTAGTTATAAACCCTCAGTCCAGTTTGCAACCTCAAGGCTGTGATGAACATTTATCAAAATGATGATTGCTGGATAATTTAAGTTTCTTTCTGTGTGAAAAGTTATTTTTGTTGACAAAACAATCTTAACTCGTGGTTTTTGTCTGTGAACTCACACATTATTATCATCTTTCACACAGCCTGGTCAGGGCAGGACTGCTGCAACTTTATTCCACCTCTATTGTGTAGAAGGTATGGAGCACAGAGAGTCACACATCTGGATCTACATCTGTGTGATCAAGAGAGCTGGCATGGCAGAAACCAACACATTTAACCCTAGCTGTGTTTCCATTACGTATATTTATACCCAAGTTTTTAAGTACTGCAAAATCGTCTCTAAGATGGAATGTAGCATTTCATCCCAGCTGGAGGTCGGCCTGCTTGGCAAATGGAAGTTAATTTAATCCTCCTATTATCTTTGGGGTCAATTTGACACCATTCAGTGTTGAACATCTCTAAATAAGTCATTGACATCATTTTTTCAGTTTTATTTAAAGCGCTATTTACACATAAACTTGGGTAACAATTTTAATTATGATATTTTCTGGAGGTTTAAATTACTAGGATCAAATTGAACCCAAGGATAAAAGATGTCAGTAAATTTGAAGGCAATAGAAGGGTTAACTGTAGAGTTAGTTCATGTTACAGATGTTGATTTGTCACATGGCTTTCAAAGTTGCCAACAGGTACACTATTGATGTTTTTGGATGTTGCATGTGTGTCGGAGTGATGCTTCACTTGGGTAAAACATGATTGTCTTTTATAAACTTTTAGCCTTGTAGGACTTTGAGATTAGCCAGCATTCACGTTTTGTTTTGTTTTATTTTTCTTTACCTAAGTTGTCAGAAATGGAAAAAAAAAACTACATTGTCAAGTTCCCCTGACTACCGATTAGGGACGTTAACAAGAGGTTAAATAACAAACACAGTGTGATAGCACCACAAAGTCAGATTTACAACAGCTATTCGTAACTTTCATAAATGAACAGTTAATTGCAGAAGTATATCTTCATCTGAATACATGACCTTGCTGTAGAGAGAGCCAGAGGAAGTTTTAAACAACAGTCACTAGTAGCATTACAGCACAACAAGAAATATGTTGAAGTGTTCAATAATTAACTAAAACTTTGTAATTGTGGTCTACTAGTGTTAAAGACAGAACACGAGACTGTAGATTAGTTGTAAAAATACAAACACAGCAAAAAAAAAGAAAAAGAAACAAAAAGAACAGCACAACATGTGACATGAGCCTGTAAAGGTAAATGCTCACCTGTGTGACCTACGACCCGTAAACGCCACATCTCACAGCCCCAGCCGTGTATTGTGTTGATAAATCACATTTAGTGTTTACAATGTTTATTCTCAAATGTCTGACTGCACCTTTAATGTTGTGGATGGCGGGTGGGTTTGTCCAATTAGTGTGTAGGTGGAGCAGCAGGAAACAGACCGCAGAGACACACGGACGCGCTGGGATTTTTTTTCTCTTTTCAGTTCCCGGACGGAGAAAAAGCCGTGAAGTTGCCTACAAGTAAGTAATCGGCTGGAGGAAGTGAACGTGAGATAGCTGCTGCAGTCCGATGGTGCTGCAGGAAGATTTCGTCATGATCCAAGTGTCGATACCATCGATGGAGAGGGAAGTGGATGAGTCGGGAAAGTCCAGAAAGGTGAGGACGCTGCGGCTCAACGTCCTGTTCAACCTGTTTCTAGTTCGCAGCTCACGTCCGCGTTGTTTGCGTCTTTTGGGCGCTTTGAATGAGCGACACGTTGGTGTCCGGTGAGAGAGCAGGGCTCCAGGTTAGCCCGCTCACCTGTACGGACAGTGGAAGTGAGTTCAGCTCAGGTTTTCTCTTTCTGACCTGCAAAGGTTCCTCAAACCCTGTCAGTACTTTGGAGTCGCCTGAACTTTTCACATTAACAACACTTTGCAGTTGTAGTTTGTTGAGTTCTCTGTCTTAAAGTGTTTTACAGTCGTGGCCAATATCATTTTTCTAACAAGTGAGATATAAAATTGCAGAGCTGAAATGAAAGTCGTTCTGTTGTTGTCACCATTATTATGGTCTGCTGGTCTCACAGACAGCATTGGCTTCTCTCTTGTCCTTCCCTGTCCTGCTCAGTGTGCCATATGTTGAGTCCGTCCTCTGTCTCCTCCTGTCACAATGACATTTGTGATAAATACCATCTTTTGGTAGCATTGGAGTTGAGGTTTAGTGATTGTAAATTCAGACAAATGCCCTATAAGTTGCAACAGCAGGTCAGTCTGTGGTGCAGACCGACCAATCGTAGCTCATCTTAGGGCCAGTTCCTGTTTTCTGCGTCCATGTGTGCAGACCAATGCAGACTTACACTGCATTTTTTTATTTTATTTTTTTTTAAGGATAAACAGCTGGTTACAGACTCAGCTGTAGCACTGTGTTGGTGTGATTTGTCCTGAACACAGTGGGCAGTCATGGCACAGGGTTTCTGGAGAATTTTCCCACCGTGTCTCCATGTTCAAATCAGAGCACCTGTAGTCCAGCACTGACTGCTTCACTTACAACTCTTAATAATGAATTATAAAGGCTTCTCATACAATCTCTCCTTGAAATAGTCATTTCATTTTCCTGGTGCGTATGCGGTTGGCAGACAATCCACAGGTTCACAAACTTTGTACTGTATGTGGACGTCTGCTATGCTGAGCCCTGCAGAGTTGTGTGGATGATAACATTTACATCATGTGTACTCTTGCAGACACATGTGTGGGCCTTCAGCCAGTCCCCTGCCAGTTGGCCAATATTGAGCCAGTAATTGGTTGGTGTAATTAGTATTATTATTATTATTATTATTATTATTGTTGTTGTTGTTGTTATTATGAATAAACATCATGTAATTAACCAATAATCAAAGTACCACTACTGTATTGTCTATACTTTTATAGATGAGTCTGCAAATGTTTCTATTTATAAGAATTTGTAAGCTCATGCTACATTTTGTGTTCAAAATTTAAATTAAGAAACAAGTTATTAAAGAACAAGTATATTTAATTTTTCCTCTGAGATAAAGTGAAGTCCACTGCATGGCATTTTACACGCAGGCGCTCAACTATGCTCACATGTTGAGAAGGTTTCAAATTTAAAAAAGAAAAAAGAAAAGGAAAAAAAACAAACAAAAAAAACAAATAGCAATGTCAGATGGCTGACAGAGAGTAAACCAAAATAAAAGTGGAGCTAATTTCAGCTACATTATATGCTGACTTGGTTCATTTGTAGTAATGTAGCATATTTGGTATGGCAATACCCCAGGCCACAAAAAACAGGTATAAGTTCTTTTTTGTGCCTCCCTCCATCCGAGCTACAAACACTGAGAAGAGGAGGAGGTGGTAATGCACTGTGTTTTTCCTGCTCTACTCTATCATGTACTGTGCTGCACTTTAATCTGTTTACTTGTTTCTTCTGCTTGCTGCTGCTGATTGTTTGCACTGCAATACATCTGATTGAATGAATGACCAAGATTGCTGCTAATGGCCCTGTCTGTCTTATGTTTTGTGTCATTTTTAAATGTTTTTATTGTGTCTTTTACTTTTAAAAACAAACAAACCAACTTTTTCTTTAATTTGTGTTTTTTAATGTTTTTATTGTTTTTTATTAGCTGCTGCATAATAAATCGTCCCTCGGGGACAAATAATAAAATTTGAAGTTTTAAGTTTATTTGAGGAACTTCTGCTGCATATGGAAATATGGTGCAGAAGTATAAATCAACCTAAAATACACTTCTTCCTCTTAAAGTGAAAGTAAGTATTTTGGTATTGTATGTAGGCACAGCTGGGGACATGTAGTTGGTTACATTCAACCACTGGTCTGAACATGAAGGAGCTACTTCAGTGTTGTTGGAGGTCTGATTCATTCAGCAGTGAGCAACATTAAATGAACTCATCTTAGTTAAACCAGCCATCAGATAATATTTCCATCTAAGATGTAGCAATATGAAAGATCGTGAAAGAAGTGAATGTTTTTTTAGAACTGTTTTGCAGTGAAAGTATTTACAGCTTGTACAGCTAAATTATTATACTATTGATACTGAAATGATATTGCACCAGGATGCACATTCTGTTGTGTATAAATGAGTGTGACGCCTGTCTGAGCACACACATTACTTATAGTCAGTGGTCAGATGAAAAAAAAGCTACCTTGTCTCAAATAAATCTTTTATGTGTTTTATAATTTGCGTCATTGTTTTTCCATAAATTGTACTTCCTGTCTAGTGCTTTTCCATTTTATTCCATGATTTATTCCACCATTTTTCCCAGCCTTGTGTTACATGCTTTTTTTCTCAAGTTTCTGAATAAATAACTTTCATCTTAACTAATACTAATTTAAGGTTTTTCCGGAATGTGCTCTGCTTTTAAAGAGAGATTTTTTTCCCCCTTACATGTAAAGACTAATAACTGAAAGGCTCCTGGCTCAGGGGACCAAGTTTGCTGTTAGTTGAGGAAGGTCAAAGTGAATGTGTTATTCACGTTTAAAGCTGTGATGAGAAAGCTGTGCTCATCTCATTTCTTGAGAATGAAAAGTGAAGCTCTGTACCTCCTCCTGCTGGACAAGTGATGCTGTATCATTATACAAACCTCAGTAGAATAACCTTCCAAAACATGGATCTAAAAATCAGTAACAAAATATGAATGAAAACTTGGCTTCCTGAATCACATTGCATTCTTAGTCGAGTATTACCCGAATTATGTTCACCATTTTGAAAAGCATGACACATTACCAGTTAGTGCTACACTCACTAAGTTTTTAAAAAGCTAAATGACTCAGTAAATCTCTCGTTGTGGATAAATCTTCTGTGTCCTGTTCTGTCTTTTGTTTGCAGCTTTTCAGAGTTGAAGTCTTGTTTCATGAGAGGAAACATTATGTGCTCAGAAGAAACAGTGAGTTCCAGACTCTGCACAGAAAAGTAAGTAGTTTTATAACCGCAGTTACTGTGATGATGATGCTGCGTGTGATGTGGAGTTGAATTAACTTTGTGTGTTGTGCCTCTGAGTGAATGATTTTGGAGCCTTTGTTGTACAAGCATGCACCAACTGTCAGTGCAGCCTATTATAGTACAGTCCTGCTCATCTTTCTTTTTGTCACACCTGTCTGGATTATTGCTGGGGACTTTTTCTGAGCTGTGTAGTCTCTGGATATGCTCCCCGGGAGAATTTTGCTCATGCATTTGTCATAGTATGACTTTCATTCAGTGGAACAGCTGTTGCCCACCAGCTCCATGCTCGCATTGGTTACACCAGGGACCAGTTGATCATGTTGAAACCAGCCAGCACAGCAACGACAGAAGAAATCAGAGAAGAACACATTGAAGATGCACAGGAAGAATTGGGTAGCAAGGATAAAGACCTGGGTCCAGGCAGTAGGGAATGATGGGGAAATGGTAGTGTTGCCTTCTTTCTATCGCCGTGGACAATGTGAGATCACTGGACAGTTAGATGGACGAGCTAGTAGCCCTGGAGTGGAAGTGAGGGACTTTTTGGTTTCACAGAGACGTGGCTACAGGGAAATATTCCAGATCACATTGTTTCAATTTATGGCTTTTAGATGTTTAAGGTAGACAGAGATAAATCCAAGACAGGCAAGAAAAGAGGCCATTTCACTGAAGAACCCATATTGTGCTTTTTGGGGGTTTCCCTTTCGTTTTTACGACATGTTAAGTCTGCAAACTTAAAAAGCCCAAAGTCCACAACAAAAGGAGTTATTCTCTCTCACAAAACAAACTGCTCATTACCTGCCTGAAACGCCTCATTTGAAGTTTAGACGCTTTTTTCCGTTACTTGTCTGGAGCACATTTATGTGACGCTTGTTTGCCCCTTTAAACGAAGAATAAGAAGCTGCCCGCTACTGTTTTGTCACCAGAGCAACTTCTGTTAGAGCTACAGTCGTCCTCAAATGTATTCATACCCTCCAATTAAAGAAGGAAAAAAAAAAACAGCTGTCACTGGAATAAGTTGAAATTGCCAAAAGTAATGATAAATTATTTAGGGCAGCTATGGCTCAGGTGGTAGAGTGGTTGTTCTCTGATCATAAGGTTGGTGGTTTGATCCCCCGCCCCTCCACTGTCGAAGTGTCCTTGGGCAAGACACTGAACCTGAAGTTGCTCCCAATGGCAAGCAGCGCCTTGCATGGCAGCTCTGTCGCCATTGGTGTATGAATGTGTGTGTGAATGGGTGAATGAGAAAACACTCAAAGCGCTTTGAGTGCCGCTAAGGTAGAAAAGCGTTATATAAGTGTAATCCATTTAAATAAAAATGTAATGAAAATCATGACATTGCTTTTGAATTGTGATTCATCAGAAATATAAAAAAAACAAAAGGCAAATAAAAAAAAAACAAGCAAGAAAGCAAGCAACATGGGACCCATAAACTAATACTTTTTGAACAAGCCTTTGAGCCAATCACTGCAATCAAGTGTTTTCTGTAACTCTCAGTCAGACTTCTGCACCTGTTGACAGCTATTTGGATTTTGGTCCACTGCTCATCAGCAAAGTGCTCTAATTTGACTGGGACAGTTTTTTCTTTTTTTGAATTATTCTTTTTAACCACAATTTAAAAGCAATGTGTTATTTCACTAAATTATAATTTAGCATTTTTAAAAGTATTATTACTTTTTTCAGTTTCTAGTTTCTAAGGGTATGAATACATTAAAGGACGACTGCACATGTCTGTCAGAAATCTGAATGTTGTTTTTGCTTTTGTCAAGCCACCTGACCAATCAGAGCAGACTGGTGTGTGTATGCATGCGTGCGTGCGTGTGCGTGCGAGCGTGTGAGCGTGCGACTTCATCCACTCTGTACACCGCGGTGGTATCATCATCACCTTCACGGACTTAAATCCTGCAACACTGGACAAGACTCTTCCCTTTTTAACTCAGTTTGCAGGCTGCCCTACCAGAGGAAGCAGGGTGCTGACTGGCTGTGGCCATCCACTTATACAGTTCCTCCTCTTTTTATAAATGTTTTATAAATGTACAACTCCCACAGATGGCAACAACCACTTTTCCTGCAGTGATTAAATGTTTTTTTTCTGGCTAAAATAACAGTTTACATGCAGCAGTAAACTGAAAGTCCCAAACTAAGAAGGTCTCCTGCAACTGCACATGTACAGATGAAGCTAGATGTTTACATACACTGTATAAAAAGACACATAACCTTTTTTATTCTCACTATCTGACGTTAAATCAGACTAAACTTTTCCTGTTTTCGGTCAGTTAGGATTACCGAAATGATTTCTATTTGCTAAATGCCAGAACAATGAGAGACCAATTTTTTTTTTTTTTCAACATACTTTTTTATTACTTTCTTCAAAGTCAGAAGTTTACATACATTTCTTTAGTATTTGGTAGCTTGTCCTTTCAACTGTATGACTTGGGTCAAACGTTTTGGATTTCCTTCCACAAGCTTCTCACAATAGTTTGCTGGACTTTTTGGCCCATTCCTCCTGATAGAACTGGTATAACTGAGTCAGTTTTACAAGCTGCCTTGCTCCACACACCTTTTCAGCTCTGCCCACAAATTTTCTCCAGGATTGAGATCAAGCTTTGTGATGGCCACTCCAAAACACTGACTTTGTTGTCCTGAAGCCTCTTTGTAACTAATTTGACGGTATGCTTCAGGTCATTGTCCATTTGGAAGACCTGTTTGTGCCCAAGCTTTAACTTCCTGGCTGATGTCTTGAGATGTTGATCCAATATTTCCACATAATGTTCTTACCTCATGATGCCATCTGTTTTGTGAAGTGCACCAGTCCCTCCTGCAGCAAAACACCGCCACAACATGATCCTGCCACCCCCGTATTTTACAGTTGGGATGGTGTTCTCGGGCTAATAAAAAATTGTCTCAAAAAAATCTCTCTCTCATTATTCTGGCATTTAGCAAATATAAATAATTTTGGTAATCCTAACTGACCTTAAACAGTAAAAATTTAGTCTGATTTAATGTCAGACAGAGAGAAAAAAAAAGCTATGTGTCTTTTTATACAGTGGATGTAAACTTCTGGTTTCAATTGTATTTGCTGCGATCTGAAACAAATGTTTTCAAAAGATGTGAAAACTCTTCTCACACTTTTGAGTGGCAAAACATCTTTATTCTTCAAAAGCTGGACTTCACCTCATTTGTGAACTTGATTTGAAGATTCTTGTTGTGTTTTGTGATATCTGCAGCTCAGGAAGATCATCCAGACTCCAGATTTCCCAAGCAAAAGAAATCCCCATCTGAGGACCAAACCTCTGGAGCAGAGGAGGCAGGAGCTGGAGGATTACATCCAGGTAACACAACAAACCCAGTCCTCTTCTTTCAACCCAGTGTCCTTGAGCAGAAAGCCTTGGCTGTGCTGAGGCGTCCTTTGGAAAGACAGATTTTCAAGAATTCTCTTTATTTTCAAGGAGGTTATACTGTAAGGCTTTTTTTGTTTGTTTGTTTGTTTGTTTTTTTGACTCACTAAGAAATCAGTGAAGCTGCAGTTACTTTCAAAATGTGAGTTGCAAGTTGACTGTGGCGAGTCTGACCTCTGGTAACTCTAAGGAGCTGCTTTCATGTGAAGAGTTACGGTGTATAACGTTATACACACATTCCTGCCAGTGCACACTATTCCTATAGAGGTTAAAGATCGTATCATATTTACTGTATATGCCTCTTCTCTTATCGTATTGCTGCCTGAGAAAGGGCCATGCTAGTCTGCTTAGGAAAAGTTTGAAAGGAGCGTAACTACATATTTAGGTTCTGCTTAAACGTCAGATTTTCACTCATGTACAGTGTTGAAAATGGGTGTTTTTTTATCTTCATATTCTTTAAAAAAAAAAAAAGAAAAGAAAAGAAAGAAAGAAAGAAAGAAAGAAAGAAAGAAAAAAAAAATACAATTTTATTGTTTGCTTCCTTCTTCGCTGGCCAGGAGATCATCTATCAAAATGAAGATGTGCCACAGGTGCTGCTGGACTTCCTCCATCTGAAACATTTCCACACAGGGAATAAGATCAGCAGCATGGAGTAAGTCCTTCAGTCCAGACTCCTCTGACTGCACCCAGAGATGTTGGACATGTTGCTATATTTAGGGCCTCTAATTTTGGATTGGGGGCAATGCAGCAACATAATAAAACCTCAAACATTTCGCACAGAGCAGCAGCACTGGTTCTAACCTACAATTTAGCTAAAGATCAAGGACAGAGAGCTGTTCAGATTCTTCAATTCTGTTCATGCTGAAATATTTATGTATGAATGTGTATATATACAGTACATGTATATGTTTATATATTGGTAATTGTAAAGACTTGTGTGCAATTTTTTGATTTTTAAAACATTGTACCTTGTTTGAACCAGAGGAAGATCCATTATCATAGAGTAGCTTATGTAATCAGTCTCTAGAGTTATAAACACATGTATTATCTTTGGTTTTTTTGACTGTGCTCTTGCAGGAACTGTCTAACATGCAATGCGCTCTAATTTCAGGTCACTTGATGAATTGGACAGTCAGGATTACAAGTAAGAGCTTCACTAGTTTACCATATTCCTCAGTGTTTCTGTGATGGAGTGTGTGTATTGCACCAGGATGTACCCAAAAACTCTATCATTAGCACATCAGACATTACACTTACATGACTAGACATTACTTTGGATAATGTTTAGCTCCTTTGCAGTTCTACATTCCACCAAACTCAAATTTTTTTTTTTTAAATCCATGTGGGGCATGAACGTACAACAAAATCACTGTAAACAGCAACACACCAGCTTTGCATACAAGCAACAAACAATCATTTTATTTGTCCATTTCATTTGCTTCTGACATTGTCTTATTACATATGCAGCTCAGTTACTTTTTTCTTTTTTCTACATCATGAGTACGACTGAGAAAGTAAGACATTACAGCCACAAAACATCAAAGCATACTGTATGACGTAAAACAACTAAAATGTTGGCAAAACTGTACTATAGAACCGTATTAGAAGAGCTGAAGAACAGACAGCTGCTCCTTAAAGCTCCTAAAAGGTTTGGAGCCACTTCGGGTTGAGGCTGTTAAATGATGCTTATCGAATGATGCAAAGCTGTGCAATGTCGTCAGTGCGTGACACACTTAAGGGCCACTCTACAGCTCAGGGCCATGCAATGACTCCACTACCACCTGAAGAACGGGCTTGTCAGCACTAAACCTCGTCATCATGCCTCCAGCACATCCAAACTACACCAGAATGTGCACTATGGCTGCAACTACCCGTTATTGTCATTGTCAGTTAATCTGTTGTTACGTTTGGTATGAAATGTCAGAAAATTTCCCAAAGCCCCAGGTTTCCTATTCAAATCTTTGTCCACAACCCAAAGATTTTCAGTGTACCCTTATGGTGGAAGTAAGAAACCATAGAATATTCAAATCTAAAAAGCTGGAAAATTTAGACTTTTTTCCTTTTAAAAAAATACTGAAACTAATAAAATTGATTTGTTGGCAATTGTTGCAACTCTGATTGTTGCGTTAGTACAGTTAAACTAATTGAAATATATGTTTCGCACATGTGATGAACGCTAATGTTGGTACACGGTTGATTTTGATGTTGAAGAACTACAGTCTTTGCTTGAGACTGATTTTTTGCTTTGGCTTCCTCAGTTTTCAGTTGCCACATCAGCGAGTGATTGGATTCTTTCAGGATCCTTATCTCTCCAACTGCACATCAGGTAAGAAAGAACAGACTTGTTCAAAGCAGTGTTTGTTGTGTTAGAGTTGAATGTGTTCTGAAATATGTTGACACAGAGAAAACACAAAGAAAAGTCCTTCATTTTGTTGTTTGGTATGGTATTTTAGAGATGAAAAGCCTCAAAAAGCTAAACATACAGTAAATGTTAAATAAGTTAGAACTAACAGTCTCCACTACGATGGGAGAGTTAAAATGCGAGAGGCATTTTAGGTAGTTGCCCTGCTGCCAAAAATACCAAATTAACCCTAGAAGGCTGTTGATGTAACGCTTTTCCTGTCATTTAATTAAAACCGACGATTGTCTGACCAATGAATATCAACCAACCAATCGCCCAGTTGACCAGGACACAATGGCCCTATAGAAATTTTCTTATTCAAGCAGAATAAACCTGAGCTTTGTCTTGCAGGTCTCCCAGATGTTATTGTGGATGGGGTGCTTCAGGGTTTTTACCCCCGGGACGTCCGGGTCAGCTTCACCTCCTCCACGCTCCCTGAGCCAGACTCCACCACTTCTATAGAGGCCTGAACACAGACAGCAGAGTCAAATCCACAAAACCACGAATGAAAAAGCCATCTGCATACAACAAGTTGACGTAAATGAACAGTTTTTGTATGGCTGGTCCCGGTGGGATTGAAACCATCACCTGGTCTTTTTTGAGGCAGTGCTTTACCCATTGTGCAATTTTAGTTTCTCACATTTAGTCAAACAAGTCGTCAGACTCACTCAGTGTGTGTCAGTGTTTTTTAGCCGTGAAGATGTCAAATTGATTTTAATCATGATTACTGACATTACAATGTTGCCAAAGCAAATATGAACCCAGTAAAGTGCTTCCTGAACGTCTGTAATTCATTTTAGTGATACTGTAAATAGTTAGATGTGAATTTGTTTTAAAATAAAGGACTAATGACAATATTTCTACTTGAAGTTTAGGGAAAGGGACTGGTTTGTTTTTTTTGTTGTTTTTTTTTTTTTGGAGGGGGGGGGGGTTGGTCATAGTAACTGACCTATTGAGATGTTTGGGTGGGCCCAAGAAAATGACTAGCTGCATTGAGCATAAAGTGACGTAATGTAATGTTTTGGGCATGTGTGTGCTTTTGTATCATGTTCTTTATGTTGAAAGTGGAATAAAGAATTAAATAGGACTCAATCGGTGGGAACTTTCTATATAAACCTGAGCTATAACATGAAGATCCACATTCCTTCTGTTCGAGAAGCTAAAGGCATGAGCTATAAGGCTTAGCGTGACCTTTTGATTGCTGTGTTTAGATAACTGATCAGGCAGCCAGGTGGTAAAATCATTTCTGTCTACCTTCACAGTTAAGTTACCCCAGTGGATGACCAGACATGATAACCAATCTTACAAGCATTAGAAGTGCTTCATGTGTCTATTAAAGTATTTTTTAACCAATAGGAACAAATGGATTGAGTGTAGTGGCCTATATAATGTGGAGTGCCTCATGTAATGCAATATGTATTTTGACTGGATCCATTTAAAAACAAAAACAGCTGATAGTAAATGATCATAGTATTGCTACACACAATTTGCAGGTTCAGAAGGCATTTTTCCAAGTTTCTCCACTGCAGCCACGCCTTACCACAGCTTGGAGCAAAATAGTCGACAAGTAGCAACAAGTAGATAAGACAGGACATGACTGCATTCTTGTCTTAAGGAGAAAAAAACTGTTAACATAGGCTTGTTTTTAATTGTCATTTGACTGTGATCCTGATTGACCTCTTGTTAATTTTTCTGCTGGACCTGTTCATTCTGAACAGTACAAATCTATCCAAAGCACAAAGTGGGGGGTTTTATAAGGGTGGCCAGACTGAGACCATTAAAACCTGCAGAAGGTCCAGGTAATGCTTAACAAGTAGGCAAGGGCCTGTGTGACAAAAATTCCATTATCTCCACAAGAGTCTGTGTGGACCCCCTCATAGACACCTGTAATTTGTGTTTGTGCAGCAACAATGTTACAAGAGACAATAGCACACATGCTTGGCAGTAGTGTGTATGCACAGAATATGCAGATACAACTTTAAAAAAAATAGCAAAACTAAATCATACACACTTAAATTAATACAAACAGATTTTTTTTCACATATATATAAAAAAAACTGATGCATTTTAATACACACATGGTATGTCTATGCACAATAATACGACATCTTTGTCATAAAATCAGTGTAAACGTGTTCTTGTTGGTCAAAACTATTTGGTTGTATGTGATTACATGGGGGCTTGTTGTGCTGTTAAAATGCATCTGTATGTGAATAATGACTAATGGTATCACACAAAAGGTTCTGCCAGAAAAAAGTAGTTATTGGATATAAGCCCACTTCTAGGAGCGCATGTGTAGATCTCTCACAGGCTTCACCATTAGTTATGTGGGATGGGCAGGCTTTAGGTGGAGACTGTGGCCACCCCTTGGCCCCACCCCTGAATGCACAGGACAGCAGCCATTTTTGCTTCTCATTGCAGAAAAACCACAGGTGTTCAGTATAACATTACCAGTGGCTGTGACCAAATCAGCTGCACCAATATATATATTTGGAAAGGTGTGAGAAAACTTAAGTGAAACAGATTTTTCTCCTAACAGCTAACTTCCAGTCCACCAGCATGAACATGATCCTGAAACTCAGCTCAGCAGAATACAGTCATCCTTAATGTTGTCATTTACAGCTGTGATTGTTCTGTGCAGCCACATTGCCTGCTATGAAAATGATGCAGATATCTTCAATATCTTTACAAGGAAATGAATGACCCCCTTTATGATCTAATCTGTGTTATGGAGTGATGCTATAACCTTTATTTTATTTATTGCTTCTTAAATTGTTCCTCTTATTGACTGTTATTTATCTATTTTAAACAGTCTAATGTGCTCTTGTTGTTATTTGTGTTGTTTTAATCTTGCAACGTTAAGCACTATGGACTAAATGTCTGTATGAAAGGTGCTAGATAAGGCAAACTGGGATGAGACGCCCCCTTAAAAATGATGTATACTTAAAAGAACAAATTTAGAAAGTAATTACATTATAACAGTCTATAACTTTATTACAAAGCTAAGTGTAAAATCTTGAAACTACGCCCCCTGATAGGGAAAGAATCTTATTTCATGAGTCATTTTGATCAGTGCAGACATGTTCCTTATGCATAAGACTGACTCTGTTTTAAAATATGATGGTGCTTTGACTTTAACTGCAACATAAATGTTGGATAACATTTTTTTTAATAGTTTGATTATTGCTAATTGATTTAGAATTGGTGAACATAGGACAAAAAAAAATCTAACTGCAACTTTATTATCGTTGATATTTATTACTGGCAAAAAATAATGTTAGATCAGCAATCACCTGTGATGCTAAGCCCACATTAGTAAGGAATTAAAGGTACATGGGTAGCTGATAGATAGCTAAAATTGCTAAGTTTGCAGTGAGGTAGCCTGGTAAACAGATAATAACATTTTTTTTACTGCTGGTTAACTTTTTCTTATTTTTTTTTAAACTGTAGTAGATGATGGTGTACATAATTTATAACAAATCTAGGCCTCACTGTTCAAAATCAGTGACTTTCTTGAGGAGTTTCTTATCCCATATCAGGGAAACCATCTTCCCTCAAAATTACTACTCTGACACTTACAGAGAAAAAAATGATTATTTTTTATTTAACCTAATGGATAATCCTCAATATGACTCTCATGGTCTCAGTAGAGGAAACTAACGAATCTCAAAACCACTTCTTTCAATATTCCCCCACCAGTAAAATTATTTCAATGCTATTTAAAGATCAACAAGGCGATCATCTTCTAATAAATAAATAAATAAAAAAAAACCTAAAATAAAAACTGACTGTAATCTAGTGGTCAGGAGGCCGATTATAGTCACGGGGCTCTTAAATCAGTTTACGATAAATAAAACTGGAATGAAAAGTAGCTCATTTGATCAGCAATCTACCAACCACTTTGTAGTAATGAGTGACGGTTAACCTCCACCTTAACCATAGAACCCAGAAACCCCGTGGTTCTACGGACAGTCCGTGAATGCAGCATGTAACCTGTGGAGCTGCGCATGCGCGGGGCGGCAGACGGAAGCCCGTGCTGGTGTCGGGCTGCTGCTGTCTTTCCCAATCATTGGTCCTTCAATGACTTGTACCGACTCTTACTTCTTCAGCTAGCTCTCCCTCCGCCGGCGGACTCAATGCTCTCTGTGTGACTCGCCAGCAGACAGGATCCTCTTCCTGACTAACTGACCTGAAGCCTCCACATCACCGGTACGTGCCGCTAACAACTAACTATGAAGCTTTAGCAACTTCGCTCGGAACAGAAGCCGCCGTGGAGCCGAGCAGTGAACTGTACACGGAGTGTTAGGCTGCATAGGCTCGTCTCTAAATTAGATTGCTTGCTAAGCCGGGCTGGCTAAAGCTACTTGCTACTACCAGATTAGCTTCGATAAACTGTAGCCAAAGATATACTTCTCGCGTGCTGGTGTTAGCGTGTTAGCTAACAAATTCAGCGTGTCCACGTTAGCAGTAACTTAACCCCTCTGTGCTGTCCCATAATGTACATGACGGAGCTGCAGCTGAAAGGGCAGTGCACTCAGGACTGTTTGTGGTTATCACAGCACTCCCTGGTGATATTAGGAAACACCCAGATTAAGACGTGAACCTGCACTGATACCCTGGTGTCAATGTCGAGTTTATCAACTGAGTCCAGAAAAACTGAATCAGAGTCTGTAGTGAGATGAACAGAAAGGGGCGTTGATGCATGAAGCTGCAACTCTACAACTGACTCAGTATTACAGTACTGTAATAAATACAAGCTGTCTTCCTTGTTAAAAATGTGTATTATTTATCTTGGGTGACTGTATAAAGTTCTTATTTTCCTCAATTAGTAGCTTGATCTATACAATGAGAGGAGCACAGTTTTACCATAAGTTTGAGGTGAAATCTTATTCATCTGACCAACACTTTAAAACTTATAGATGTTCAGATATTTACTGGATATTCTGTTTGCTGTCACATGAAACAGAAAAGCACAAAGACTTAAACCAGTGAGGCAGGAAAGATGAATTTGTGGCATTTTGGCTTTAAAAAAATACTTGGACAACAATCAACAATGTAGCTGCCAATGAGTTTTCCACTGATCTATTAATACATTTCAACTTTCTTTACTAGTTTTGACTTATTTAATACCATTATCGAGGTTTGAATGAGATATATGGCATGATACTGTATGAGATTTTGCCACACTGCATTTGCTGCAGTCAATATTGAACACATTGAAGTTTTTAATACCACGTGGCATTAGTATAGCGTGAGCCCCTTTTAGACACGCATTCTTTATCTGAACTGACGGGATGTAAACATGCCAGCTTCATGTCTGAGGGAGCACTCTGCTCATGTTTCCCTAAAAGCTGCAACAGCAGTCTAACCTGGTCCGACTCAGAAACATTTCTGGGCAAAAGTCTGAACTACGTTGTGTTACATTATAGATAAAAATAAAACTTTGCTGCAATCAAGACACAGCCTGTGATAGTTGAGATTAATGAGACTAATTAATAATAAATGTTATCCGGGTTTTGACAAAGTATTAAAAGGAGCTGAGGTTTGTTGCTCCCAGCTGTTTGTAGGAGTCTTTCCTCTGAGGTTATTAAAAACTTATAGCATCGGACAGCTACAGGATCCATATGAGCGTCTCCAAAGAGACACGTCGAACAACGGCGGTAATTTCAATAATTATTAACTTCAATAAAAAATGTAACACTCATTGCACTATTGTTACAGGATAAAGGTAAAAAGCTCTCCTTTAGTTAAATATATGGAAAACCTCAGTAAACAAACGGCCTTTCAACAAAGTTTTGTGTTGAGTTTGTGTTTTTCTAAATTTTGACACCAAAAATCCAGTTTTCGTTGTAAATCTGCTCCAAATATCAGTTATTAATCTCCTTGATCACTCATAAAAATAAAAATAAAAAAATCACACTCTGAACACAGAGTGATGCTTTGTAAGCGTCAATGAAATAATAAACGAACGACTAAATCCAAGTCCACTATATGACAAATCTGTGCAATATTATACATTGTTCATCACTTGACGTACTGTTCAATCTCGCATGTTTGGCAAATGTGTGATGGTTATCTCTGAAAGAAGCTGTGAAAACATGGGTGAAAATTAGTGTAACGGTGACCTTTGTGTGAACGACAAGAATAACACTAATATATAAATTCCTTAAGTCATTGGTTTTCAGCTTTTAAAGATGCCAGCAACTACTTGAGTTGATCAGCTTTGATTGCTAATGGATGATATGAGGCAGAGGACTGACTGACTTTCTTTGTTGCAGGAGTGTGTGGGAGCATCATGTGGAGGAAGGCTTCAGTAGCGGTCCTGCTGGCGTTAGCTGTTGGCTATTTCTACCATGGCAGTCCGGATCTGCCGGCGCAGATTCTGCAGTATGTCAGCTTGCCAAACTTCCAGATATCATCTGAGAGTCTGAACAGTCAGGACAGCCTGGAGCAGGTGATCTCCGCTGCCTGGGAGGCTCTGATATCGTTACCAACCCGGCAGTGGAGCAAAGTGGCTGTAGGGTGAGTTACAGAGTTCAACTGTTGCAGAGGTTACTGTAAGAAATAGATGCATGTGTTTATTTTGTCCCATTCCCGTCACCTGATCTAGATATTGCTATATGTGCTCTCCTGTGTATTGTGCACATGTTGAGAGGTTGTAGTCAGCTCTGCTAGTGTGAAGAAACACTGTGATCATGAGTCAGTCCAAGCTCAAATAGTCCAAGAAGGAGGTGCTCGAATGAATTACATGTATGACAGCCTACAGCAGGTTTACAGCTTGTTGCCTGCTGTAGAAGAGTCCAGAGTTTCAGGTGGCAGATAAGGATTGGCTGGAACTCAAAGACGTCCCATTTGAGGGATGGACACACTCTTTCTGCAGAAGGCAGAAGGGAAGTGAAAAACTTCAGTAATGTATCTGAAGTTACACTGAAATGGAAGTATGATCAAATTTTATCTTCCATGATTCAAAAAAAGGTCAAAGTCAAACTTAATGTATCAGAAGATGCAATATTTAAATACATAGAATAGAGCTCAACTTTTCTTTTGAAAATAAAAAAGGAACCTCTTGGTTTGACCCATTATAAGCTGCTAGTGTTTGCTTGTCACTCCATATCACATTTGATTGAATAAGCGTAGGTGTATGTCCTCAAGTTCAACATGAATAAGTCAGAAGTAGCTTAAAATTTGCGTGGAGGAAAACAAGTTGAAGAAGTTAAAAAGTATCTTTGACAGACACCAAATGATAATAGCACATTTATTGCAAAATAAAAGGATAGGGATATTCAATTTTTTTATTTCTTTATTGTGTCTTTAAAACAAGTGTTGACCTTTTAAATAATTTGCTGCACAAAATCCTGACATTCTTCCAGGAGTGAGTTTAATTAATTGACATAGTGACGCCACACTGGTTTGAGCCCAGGATTCTTAACTCACATCTCTGGTGATGGCAGTTTGGTCTGAACATTGATAAATTATTCATGCTCAGGTCTGTTTTTAGTTGATGCCAGAATAATTGATAATGAAGTTATGAAACAACTCCTACCCTGAATGTTTCTCCTTTTTTCAGGGTGAATGCCTGTGTTGATGTGGTTGTCTCTGGAGTCGGCCTGCTGCAGGCTCTGGCTGTGGATCCTGGGACCGGCCTGGACCACGAAGTGTTGCACTCCAAAGAGGACTTGAAGGAAGCCTTCATCCATTACATGGGGCGTGGAGCAGCTGCCGAGCGCTTCTTCAGCGACAAGGAGGCCTTTCAGAGGATTGCACGTGCAGCAGCAGAGTACCCTGGTGCAAAGGCAAGGCTGTTACACTCTTTGGATTTCCACAGAGAACAAGCTCTTGTTGTTTTATTCAGCTTTTAAATGATATTTCTTGTAATAAACTTTACTTTTGTCTTCTTATAGCTGTATGTGGGAGGAAACGCTGCTCTCATTGGTCAGAAGCTTGCCACCTACTCTGAACTGATGGTATACTGTCTATATTTCTGTCCTAACTCTTACACAACATTTCTAGAGGATGCATTTATACAACATAAATATGTGTTTTGGCAGCCCTCAAAGTGCAGTATCACAGTGTAATTCAGACTTCTGATCATTAAAAATAATGATATCTTATAAGCTTCTGAACCCCAAAACACACTGGTGAGTTTGAAAGTCACTATTTAACAGAGAAAGAATCTGTTGTTTAAAAAAAAAAAACAAGAGAGAATTGACAAATTTGAACTTCCCAACGATTTTTATCTGTGTCGTACCATTTGGTCTGAAATTGTACCTAAAATTTAGCTTAAAATCTGAATTTTCATCACAGTCACTTTATTCTAAATGTCTAATGTAAAAATTTGCCAGAAGTCAACTGGTTGCTCTCAGCAGATTATGTAGAAAGCTAATTCTGTGCTCCTCTGCGCAAACAAGAAGCCATGGGTGACTCAACTGCAACCAAAAGTCCATCCATCCATCCATTATCTATACACCGCTTAGTCCTCATTAGGGGCTGGAGTCTATCCCAGCTGAATCAGGGTGAGGCAGGGGACACCCTGGACAGGTCACCAGTCTATCACAGGGCTACACTTAGAGACAGACAACCAAGCACACTCACGTTAACAGCTACGGACAAGAATCACCAATTAACCTCAGCATGTTGTTGGACTGTGGGAGGAAGCCGGAGAACCCGGAGAGAACCCACGCTGCAGGGGGAAAACATGCAGAAAGATCCCGGGTGTCTTCACCGGGATGCGAACCGATGCTAACCACTGAGCTACCTTGCCGCCCCACAACCAAAAGTCATGTGACAAACATACAGAGAGTTTTCAGGTAAACTGCACTGAACTGCAGGCTGTGTTTACACAGAGCAAATATGAGACAAGGAAAGCAAATAAAATGTAAGCAGTAAAGTATGTATAGTATGTAGAGTCACTGTTGTTTGTATCACCTGCAGCCAGAAAGAAATCCAACCCTTGTTTTTTAAAATTATAATTGTGTCATACAGCACAAAAGACATTTTTGAGTTCTCTCTGCTTCTAGTCATGGTTGTACTGTTTCTACAGGGGTGCAGGACTTTATATTGCAGTGAAAAATGAGTCCACCTTGGGTAAAATAGTGACAGGGGACACCTGTCTGGTTGGGGTTCAGATGATTAAAGCACATTTTTTGTCATAAATCCAGTGTTACTCTGCCAGAAATGTAATTGCACTGCATGAAAGACAAACTGCAGAGCATCATTTGAAGACAAATGTACCAGTATCAGGATGGAGTGTTGGTGATTGAGTGTAAATCTGTTTTTGTACCACAGGTTTTGTTATGTGGGCCAGTTGGTCCGAAACTTCATGAGATGCTGGATGAGCAGATAGTTGTTCCCCCAGAATCTCTGCAGGAAACGGATGAATTTCACCTCATCCTGGAGTATAAAGCAGGTAAAAAGAAGAAGAAGCTGCAACTTGGCTATTATAAGATTTCTTCCAAAACATCAGTCATTTGATCCTCTTCTCTGTCTCCAGGTGAACAGTGGGGTTCAACTCAGGCACCTCAAGCCAACCGCTTCATCTTCTCCCACGATGTGTCTAACGGGGAGATGAGCTCACTGGAGACTTTTGTTGCGAGTCTAGAGGAGTTCCAGCCGGAGCTGGTCGTCCTGTCGGGGCTTCACATGATGGAGGGTCAGGGCAGAGAGCTGTGGGAGGAGAGGCTCAAAGAGGTCGGTGGACTAAAGTGGTCCTGAATGCTCTCTCCAAGTGTTGGTAGTAAACAGTGCAACAATGTATGTTTACTAAATCACAAATATTGTCTCCTTTTTTTAAAGTCTGTTGATGGGTAGTAAAGTGAGAACAAGTGGAACAGGCATCCATTTAAAAATATGCTTTGTAAGATGGTTGGCCATAATGCAGAATGTACTGTGTGCACTTCTGTGCAAAACATGCAAAAACTCAGGTGTTCTTTTTAATATCTGTCTAGTTTTATATTTACAAACTTTAGACTTCTTGATTACATCCTATATAATGCTCCATGACGTGGAAGTTTAATGGTATAAATAAAAGCTAAAACATAGGTTATATGGATTATTCATCACCAGACATGTTTTATTATTGTTACTCACTATATACAGTGTGGTCACAGGCCAACGACTCAATTTATATGGGTTATATAATTTTAGAGTACTTGTTTCCCATTTGCAGGCGGTGTTAGCCATATCTGACATTCGTAAAGACATTCCCATCCACCTGGAGCTGGCAAGCATGACCGACAAAGACTACATGAACAGCATCATGCAGGAGGTATATGTGGAAATCAGTAGTGTCAGAGAGGCTTGATGAAGTCTTTCACAGACAAAAGATTGACATGCTCAAATTCCACAGATCCCTAAGGTGTTCTGTATATTTAATTAAAGTCTTTTTTTCTGTTTCCTGTTAGCAGTTTATGCCTATTGTCAGCTCCATTGGGCTGAATGAGCAGGAGCTGCTCTTCCTCTCTCAGGCCGGAGAGGGGCCTCATGCAGAGCTGACCTCCTGGAAAGGCATCCCAGACGTGGATCGGGTGAGCGACATCCTTCTCTGGATCCTGGAGCAGCACGGCCGCAGCGACCCATCGTCAGAGGCGGATCTCACTCGCATTCACTTCCACACACTGGCCTACCACATCCTGGCTACAGTGGATGGATACTGGGGCAACCAGGCAGCTGCAGTGATGGCTGGAGCACGGGTGGCCAGCAGTCAGGCTTGTGGCCTCCAGGTGGTCGACATTAGCAAAGTGGAGCTCAAAGCCCCGCTGGAGTTTTACAGTTCTCACACTGAGCCACGGGAGCAGCTATCCCTGAACCCAACAGAGCCTGTTACTGTGTGGCGTCGTGGAAACGTAACCTTCCACTTCACACCAGTACTGGTCTGCAAACGGCCGCTTCGGACAGTAGGACTGGGAGATGCCATCTCAGCAGAAGGACTAGTGTACTCAGAGCTAAAGACCCAGCAACCCTTCTGAAGTTTGCTTCCATCGGACACTCCGTTTTTCTGGAAATTGTAGATGGGAAGAGCTGAAAAGACCTCAGTCTCACCTGCAGTTGTGACAGTTGGGCGGGAGTCATGGTTTCTGGTCCAGATCATCCTCCCTGTCCTGGTCAGGTTCTGTATCTTCCTTCTCAAAGCTCCACTGAGTTTAAGAACATGATTGACGGTGACAGTTTTAACTCCTGCCTGATGACTTCTCCAGCCTTCTCCGGTCTCCTCTGGTGTTCCTTCTTTATGCTCCAGCAGTCACAGAAACTAAGACGGAACTTTACAGAGCTGGATCTGACCGAGCTGCGCGGTGGCTGGACTCTATGCACTGGGCACAGCTCAAAGCCATCCTCACAAACTCCAAAGAGTTTTGTTGGCTCAGCTAATTTACTTTGACCTGCATATCTTCAGTATGCTGTGCCTTGGAAATATACACAAAAAGTTATTATTAAGTAGTTTATTCATATTTGAGAGCCAAACAAACATAAAATGAAGCCTCACATCAGTTACCTTCTGACACACATACAGTAGAAACTGGAATGTGATGAGCATCTTACTAAATGGTAGAATCTAGGTGGTAATCTTGATGTCTTTGTTTCTTTCCACTTTTGATGTATTCACGTTAAATCATAACTAGAACACTTGAAAGATCATCCTATTATGGTCATCAGATATTTCTCAGTGTCTGACTTATTTACATGTTATCTAGATATACTTGACATTTTTCTTATTTGTCCAGAGACGTTGAAAATACTAGACTGTGATAACTTTTTTGTTTTCTCAGTTTGTGACCGAAAAACTCCCACTATAAAGATGTTTGAAGTTTGTAAACTCCATAGCAGCGTTCTTATTTTTTAACAGAATATAAAAATGTTACACTTATAAATGGCAAATTTAAATATGGTTTTGAAGCAGGTCCTCCTTTATGCAGTAAAGCTCAGTTTACAATCAAACGCCAGCTAATAAACATGAAGATTCTGTTATCAATAAAGGAAGTTAAAGGTGAGTTAAATTGTCAAATGGGTTGTAGGTGTTGTCAGGGTTACTATAGTTGTATAACTGTTTCATTTATACAACCTCTTCTTAGCTTCAGTTCAACCTGTCTTAAAAGATATCATCATGAAATGTGATTGGCTGGAAAATCTTAGAAGCTGTATTGCATAACAAACTGTAAGAAAAGCTCCCTGATTAGAACTCTAGTATGTAAGTAAATAATGCTTCTTCCTTGGTTGTTTGCTGTTGTTATCTGTGAACTTATTTGACGCACCTGCATCGTGTTAGACGTACAGTATGTAACTGTCAGAACGTGTTTGTATACCTCAAATGGCCGCTCAAGGCATGCAATAATAATGGAGTCTTAATGCAAACACAACAAAAAGACTTTTTGTTTAGCAGAATTGATTCTTTGCACTAGTCCAAGTGGCAGGTGTGCCTTTAGAGGTGAATGTAACCTTAACTTGGGACCCCCTTCTGTTTTTTAGCAAGTACAATCTGTTAGCCTTAATCATTTCACAGTTTTTGTCTCATGTTTTTAACATTTGTAACTGTTGGAAAGTTCCATTTACTTGTAGCCTGTCATTAAAACGTGTGTGGAGGATGTGTATGGTTCGATTGTGGTGCTACATTTATTTTGCATATTTGTCTCTCTGGAAAGAGCTGAGTGTTAAATTGAATAATTAGAAGACAGAATATTAAACTGAGAATTATTTAAAATGGATTTATTATGTGCTCCAAAAAATAGTAAGGTTTGCCATTTTCTGACAGTTTACGTGCGTACAATGTAATTAGAACATACTCAGTAGAATAACTTTAAAATAATCCCACTTCATATAGCAAGTGGTAATGGGAAAGAAAATAGTTTTGGGCAATCTGCATTTGTTTGCTGCTACTTCGATTCAGATGTTGTTTCAAGGGTTCAGCAAGACAGCTTAGGTTTAGGCTTAGCTTAGTGGATCAGAAGGAGAGTATTTAATGTATTGTCTAATAACAAATAGCTTTGAGTCTCCTGACTTCAGGCATTTTTCTAATAATTGCCTCCTGTGTAGTTTTCAGTACAGCATATTTCTAAACATAATTTTTTGTATGTATTCAGATGTACAGCATTCTCATGTCTTTAAGATGCTTTAATTTGATTCAACCACTATGATGAAATTCAAACATGACTGTCGGTGTTCAAGGCTTGCTGTGAGACTTTTAACTAGAACAACAGATGTTCTAATAATTGCTTCCCAGGCTGTCTGTGAACAGGATCCGTCCTTGTGTTTTGCATCGCTCAGGGATGCTGGATGTCTCTCAAAACGGTGTAACGCGTCTTCATCTGATTGGTCGAAACGTTCCGGGACGTGAACCAATCAGAGCGCCGTGCGTCTAGAAGCCCCGCCCCTGTGTGGTGTTGGCGGCGCAGCCCGGAGCGGCGGCCGCTGCAGTCTCCACCCCGGATACCGCACGCCATCCGCCGGCTCATATAAAGGTAGCACGACTTACAGGCCGTCTTCGGGCTGTTCATTTGTTCTTGTTGATGGTGAGACTGTGCGAGAGAAGGATGAAGTTCCTTGTGGCTGTTACAATCATTGTGGGATCCCTGATTTTTCTCGCTTTCCCAAATGGCTCATCCGCTGACGAGAAGAAGAAAGGCCCCAAAGTGACGGCGAAGGTGGGTGTTAGCTGGTTAGCTAGCTCGCTAGTGGATCATGCAAGAAAAAAAAATCAAAGCTCTTCCTCACTGCTGAGCGTTAATACGGGTAGCGGCAGCTTGTAAAAGCCACGTCACATGCAACTTGGCCTTCATTTTTCTGCAGAAGCCTGCGGACTCAATAAGCTAACGTGAGTTAGCTAGCGGCTAATGTCAGATAGTGTAGCTAACGTTGGTCGACAACATTTATTACCTTATGCGTGCCATCACGTCTGAAGCAAACGGACTTTTCTCCCAGCTAAGTTAATATCCGTGCATCTAGCTGTCATGGTGCTCGGGCCTGAACCTCAGATGTATTCATTTTTTACATCGCTGCATTTGAACTTCCGTTAGCATTGCAGGATTAAAGAGTCGATAAGCTCTGATGTGTGTAACTTAGTCCGGTAAGCTGCAGCTCAGTGAGGCCCAGATGTTTAGTCTGGCCTTGTTGTGTCTGTTTGTCCACGTACACAGTTACAGGAAGCTCTGCACTGGGCCGCAGCTAGCACATGAGGGCACGACTGACTGAGGAACACCGGACTCTTCCTCAGAAATGTAGCCTTTGTTCATGACTCATTAGAACTGTCGTGCATAAAACTTCATTTTTAAACACTTCATGTTAAACTTGTTCCTGTAATTTTTTTCGTACTTATACATCTCAAATAGAGAGACTCAAACACGTCTTCTGTGCAGACAATGCTTAAAGTCATTTAGAAAAAAACTAAAGTGGAGTAGCCAAAACCTGGAATCAACATGTATAACATTTCAAAGTGAAAATGTCATGGTAACCCTACATACTGTAGATATTTTATCACCTGTGTCTTTCATTTGTTTCCATCTCAGCTCTGTGTGAACCGGCCTTCAGTTCAGATTTTATTTATTTATTTATTTATTTATTTTTGTTGTTAATCGCATGACTGTTGGCCACAGCTGAGCGGACTTCATGATTGCATTAGAAATACAGAATGTTTTTGCTTTTTGCACAATCTGGTTAGAACAAACAGCTGATTTAGTCATTTTTAAATTAGACCTGAAGAATAAAGTGAGTTTAATGGTGGAATGATAGACACGTTTTGAAAAGATCAAAATCTGAGGATTCTTTTAATTTTTGCTGTGTCTGGGTTCTATAAATGGTGTACTTTTAAGGCAACATGCCTTTTCAAACCTACTGCTGGGTTTTTAAATGGCTAAACCATAAAGTATCATATAGGATTGGCTGCAGGCAAGCTGTCCAGCAAGGAAGACCTGATTGCAGTTGTTGAGTAAACTATATGGAGCATTGAAAATTTAGACTGAGACTGAGAAATGAGCAATAGTTAAAACGGTGGGAAGATTAAACTTTGTGTTGGCAAAATTCTGCCAACCCATCCATTTTGACCTAGAATATCGGTAAAAATGTGCCTCATCGTGAGAAACATTGGTGTGTGAAAAATCTTTGTAACCTGTCTTCTTTTGTAGGTGTTCTTCGACATTAGAATTGGAGATGAGGATGTTGGACGGATTGTCATCGGAGTGTTCGGCAAAACTGTTCCCAAAACAGTTGACAACTTTGTGGCGCTGGCAACAGGAGAGGTGAGTAATGCTGAGCCTCTTTGTCTGTTTGTCTTACAGTTTGTGGATACTGTGTTTGGATTAGGACTCACAGGCTAATCATGTTTTTGTTTATTTATTTATTTTACACTGTAACAGAAGCCTGGACATTCAGTCATGTGGTCTAAAATGTCAAATACTGGCAGCTTGATATAATTTTTGGTGCTTTGTTTATGATGTTACTTTGTTTGTTCTGATCAAACAGAAAGGATTTGGATATAAGGGCAGCAAATTCCACAGAGTCATCAAGCAGTTCATGATCCAGGGTGGAGACTTTACCAGAGGAGATGGTACTGGAGGTATGCTGTCTCCTGAAACCTACAAATTTCCATTTATGTCTTCTGCTTTGTGCATATTTCTCTGCAGGAATGAATTTGCTTATGACTGTATTATATAAATCCTGTCTTCAACATGAAATTACTTGGATAGTTTATCCTTTGATGAAAACAGGTTTAACTGGGCATTGTCTTTAAGTGTCCTTTGAGTATCTTGAAAAGTGCTATATTATTATTATTATTATTATTATTGTTGTTATTATTATTGTTATTATAGTGTCGAGGAAATGTTGGTGTCTACTACTTAACTTTATTTTCCTTGTCAGTACAACTAACAAATTAAAGATTCCCTCAATTGTTTTAAGCATTTCTGAACCAAGGACAGAGAGAATCTGTTTTTCATTGGAGCTATTTCAACTAAGTGTGACCATACCAGTTGAGGACATTTGACATCTGGCAGATGTTCAGAGAGACTTGCTGTGTGGTTAAGTGTTCATGAATAATAAGATGTCATCAGATAAAGTGAAGATAAACGTTGGACAGCAGTTTTGTCATGCAAACTATGTGCAAGGGTCACAACAGGGACAAACTGCACCAGCTGACAAACATGAACTTCTGTCTTGTGAAGATTTAAATCTAAAGTTCTCTTCGCATTCTCTTTGTGAAGGCAAGAGCATCTATGGAGACCGTTTCCCCGATGAGAACTTCAAGCTGAAGCACTACGGCCCTGGCTGGCTCAGCATGGCCAATGCTGGCAAAGACACCAACGGCTCCCAGTTCTTCATCACCACAGTTATGACTTCGTGGCTGGACGGCAGACATGTCGTCTTCGGAAAAATTCTGGAGGGCATGGTGAGTCTCATGTGACTGGGTCATGTTCATAGTTCAGCCCTTTATCACAAATTTGCCTTAAGACACTTCACATCTGAAGTATGCATTCAGCTGCTGTCCAAAAACTGATGTGTTCTATTTAGTCTCATAAACTGAGATGCTGCTACTGAAATAGACTTCAGTTTCCTGCTCTCCATCCTCCTCAGGCTCACTATAAATAGAGATAAAACCAAGAAAGAAGGGTAACATATTTTCGAACGCAGACTCCTTTAATTCTTGTGTTGTCATGGCGGCACACGGTGACATATTGACGCCTCACATTAATAAAATGATCTGAACTGTTTAAGTCATAGCGCGATGATGTCCACTTGTAATTTCTATACAACACAGCAACTGTGATCAGACTAGAACACACTGGAAAACCAGCAGTTTGACCATTGATGGAAAATACTTGTACTTAATTGAAATTTTTTGATTATCTTGGGTACAGGTTTGAGACTTTATACTGGACCACATTATAATACTTTACCTCTTACTTGATTACAGTTTGACTGCTAAAGTTACTGCTTAGTTTTTAGAATAAAATTGTACAAAACAAAATTGGTTTTTAACGATACAATTCATTTTTACAGATTAAATGATACATAAAATATATAAAAACGCTATATAAACTGCCTCCAGTGTGACCATGGGGAAAAAAATAT